TCAACGAACAGGACTGTTACATAATTGGATATGGTCTAAGCCTTTTGTTTAGAGTAATTGCTTTCATAATCCTCGTTTCTGGATTAGCCTTTTATATATACAGGAAAGTAGAGCAACGTGTAGCACCCCATGTTTTACGGTGCATAGGAAATGGAATGGTGAACTCCATCAAAAACAGAAAAACCAATCCGAAACCGCATTGGTTAGACCATGCTGAACCACAATATGGAGCTCAACTTGTAGCCGATATTAAAAGAGTATTTCAAATAATGATAGTCTTCTCAGTGGTGCCCATTTATCAAGGTGTTCATACCCAAATACATACAAAATGGTTTTTCCAAGCATCAAGACTGAATGGAAAGGTTGGAAACGCTTTGATCATACCTGAGCATTCCCAGATGCTAAATCCTTTATTAAGTATAATTTTAATACCGCTGATTATGAGGTTTCTTGATCCCTATATTTTTCGCTCTAAAATGGATCGCCCATTTAGACGCATGATATTTGGCGGATTGATGGTTGCCTTGGCGTTTGTTTGTGCGGGCGTGCTAGAAATGATGATTCGGCGCGATGCTCCTAATCCAGTGCCCAAAGGAACAGCAATAGTCAGCGCAGTTAATGGGTTTGATTGCATTAGCTTAGTTACTTTAGAAGACCGACAACTTACATTAAACCCATTCGGAAAATTCAACGACGAAAATTTCAAAATAGACAGAATAAAAAGTGTGCCAATCAAAATCGCCGGTAGTTGTTTTGAATCTGTGGAAAGTACCATTCATATTGTGCCTCAACAAGCCGTTCTTGTTTTTATAAAAAACAGTTCTGGTGTAGCTACAGTAGAACATTCTTTCCACCAAATAGACAGAAGTGAATCTGGATTGCCTATTTTGACCGTGATTGGAGCTGATACCGGAGAGCCCTTACACGTATTGGATTCGAAAGATGTAAAATTACATTTTAACCCACGAAAAATATTGGATACCGATTTAGATAAGAGTAGATCCATAGAACTGTTGCCTGATACTTATGAGTTGTATCAGGATGGGAAACAAGTTCTCAGTTTCCAAGCGCGTCAAGGAGGAGTATATTTGGCGTTAGTTACAGGGGGTTCAGGCACTGTATACACTGTCACAGAACCATATGCATGGCACATGGCATGGATAATACCTCAAAACATTATTATCATTTTTGGAGAAGTATATTTCGGTATAGCCATGAACGAATTCGCATACTTGGAAGCGCCTATGTCCCTCAAAGCGTTTATTCAAGCATTATATTCCTTTTCAATGGCACTAGGAGAATTGCTTGTGATTATTGTAACTTGGTTTAGCAACATGGAACAATATCAGCAGTTCTTTATGTCTGCTGTCGCAATATTTTTGGACATGGCACTACTTTTGATAATTGGACTCAGGTTTAGGTCAACCACTCCAGAATTAGCAGTAATTTAAAAGATACAAGTCATCTGTACAAATGTAATGGAAAGGCGATTATTTTGAATATGTTAAGCTCACATTGTCAATTACTCACACTTGTAGTACCATTCGCAAATTTTGTACATATTAGTAATGTTAACAATCACTGTGATATGATTATTGATAATATGAATACAAAAAATGCATTGTTTGAATCTTTTTTTTAAATTGAGCAATAATAAAATACATATCACTTATGATAAATAAAAATAATTAAATCTAATAATTTAAGAATCACGTTAGTGTAAAAGCTAATTACACAAAGGAAAAGTTATATGACTGCACTATTTACAAATAGTGATAAAATGTGAAAACTTTTTTTCATATATAATTATTTCATGCTAGTTTATTATAATTTTATCAGAATTGCTTCTGAGTAAATAAATACATATACAGTGTTCAAATGACCAACATCAATAAAATAATGTATTGAAACTGTGCTATTTCCACGTGCATATTATTAAATTATAAATTTATTTACTATAGTAAATAATCAATAATTGCAAAAAGTATTAATTCACTCTTTGCAAGTTAATCAAAATATTTCCAAAAGAATATTGCGCCAAGTTTCGAAATGAATAATACTTCTAATGGAATAACAAAAGTGTCAAATTACAAATAAAAATGTGCAATTTGCTGAAGGCGCCATTGAAGCCAATATTGCTAACGCCAGTGTTTTGTAATAATAAATGTTTAGGAAAAAACTATTTAAAATCAATTATACACAAAATGGTGATAATAAATAAGTAGATGTAATGAGCAAATGGTTTCTAATGAGAGACCAAAAATTTCTTTAATTCTCTTCCAATTCATTATACAAAACTATTTTGTAAAAACTTTTTGTAAAAGATCAAATCTGATGTTAACAGCATCGTATTATGCAGTTATTAATTAAATTACTGGAATTCATGGATAATAAATATAATTATTATTAAAAATAAATCCAAAATGTGGTTCAAAATTCTGAAGGTGAAAAGCCAATGCAGAAGGGTAAAAGGGTAAAAATAATTATGTGGATTTGAAGAAAATTACAAGGTGAATATGATTTTAAAATATATAATTTCATTGCTCACATGTAAATCAGAAATATCAAGTAGTTGCTACAAATACTAAACTGAAACTTAGTCTTAATTCCATGCATTTGATATATAATTTGAAATCTAGTTTAGATTTTAACTAAAACTACTGAGAAAATGTTAGCGTTATGAATTTTTAGCTTTGATATTCCGAAAATAATTATTTATTTCAAATATTTAAGCCTTGTTTAATTAATTATTCGCTTCTAATTTAATTCAAATATTTAAGCCTTGTTTAATGTTTAATTATTCGCTTCTAATTTTTTTATACACCAGTTATCCTATACATATTATAAAAAAAGTTATTCCTGAAAAATCTTATTTTACGCTTATATAGTCCTTTGTATTAGCAAAATAGATTTTGTTTTTTTTGTGCCAATCTAAATGAATAAAAAAAAAAGATCATAGAATAATAATCGATTTATTATTTGGTTATTTCTTTAGAATTTTATTGTTTATTAAAATTAACTTTATCCTGCCAATAATAATAATTTATTTATAATAATTTATTTTGTATGAATGCAAGATCAATTTCCAATTACCCTTATTTAATAAATTAAATTAGTAAGGTATTAAATTTTTTTACTTAAAAAAAAATTAATAATCTTTAATTTTATTTATTTCATGAAACTTGATTGTAATATTTTTCTTGCAATTAATATATAAGGTTTTGTTTACCAAATCAAATACGCGTATTAATTTATGCTGAAGTTGGAAGAATCTAATTACAACTATTCATATTCATGCTTTTATTTATAATTCTGCTCATTTTTTGCGGAAAGAAACTGTACACCCTTTTATTTATAGCCAAGGCGTTTATCTATTATTTCAAATAATATCAAACTATCTTAATATAAAAATTGCTATTATTGTATTGAAGTAATTAATATATGCCAAATCATAAAAAATACTTCAACTAAACTTAGTTGCCATAGAATTTAATATAAATAATAACATCAGTTGCTCGCCCAATTACATCAGTTACCCGCCAAAAATGTCCAAAATGTTCAGTCGTTTCTTAAATTAGCCCAAACAAATATTCAGACAAACAAAATATTAAGAAATGTTAAATTGGTTGAAAACCTAGGGGCTTGTTGTAACAGTTGTTTTTTACTGATTATATTTTTACGAAATAAAGATGGAAAAATGGATGGAGCTGCAACTATTCCTCTACCAAAACAAATAAAAATAATCCCATAACCGTTGTTCAGTATTTTACAATTAATCAATTCCTAGAGAAGTGCGGTATTACAACTTACCCCGTGTTTGAGATTAGTTGTAACATCTGCCGAAATAAGTAGTAACAATAAAAACTATAATAATGCCTCTGATAATTTGTTTTTTACTGATTTTTTAAGAAAATTGACTTGTTTCTAAGTATTTCTTTCCATGTATACGAAAACTATAATTATTACAAATAAAATATATAATGTCTTCTGCAATTTAATTTTAATCATGAATCAACGTTATATACAATAAATACCATAATGCAAATAAAAAATATAGTGTCTCCTCTTATACAATTTGCTCACATCTTACATACCAAACAATCTTCTTTACTTAAATCTGTATATAATCCTTGTATATTACAACTAGCCCCAAGGTTCTGTTTCAACTAACCCCGGTGTGATTATTTTACATTAATCAAGAAAGCTATTTACACAATTTAGCAATTACTAAGCTTGTTACACATTATCAAAAATTTATAAATTTTAAACAAAATAAGACATTAAAAATTTAAAATTAGTTGATAATAATAACACAAACCTAAATTTTATGATAAATCAACTTTGTATCACCCCCCAAAAATGACGGCCATTCACAATGATGCTTACTGCATCAGCCTGCGGGACCATAACTATGGCAATATAATGCAGGACGATTTAAATGTCCAATTTGAACAAAAAAAAATTTAATATCTTTTAGAATTCTGTTGAAAAACTACTCTTACTAGTTAACCCCGTTACATAAAGCCCCATATTGTGAAAAATGATGCACCTGCACAATTCGGTTTACTGAATTGTGCCTGAGGGACAATAATGTGCAGGATGGTTTAAATGTCCAATCGAGACAAAAACAATATTTTGATATCTTTTAGAATCCTATTGAAAAATGCCTGTTACTGGTTACCCCCATTACATAAAGCAACTATCTCTCCTATTGTGAAAAATTATGCACCTGCACAATTTGACAAATTACGCACTGTTTACTGAATTGGCTTTCAGGACAATAGTTATGATAATAATTAAATTTCCAATTTAAATTTGGTTTAAATGTCCAATCAAAACAAAAAATTAGATCAATATCGTTTAAGATTCTATTTAAAAGCACCTGCTACTAAATACTCCTGTTACAACTAGCCCCAAACTTCCCTTATTAAAAAACGAATATTCCAATGTATATGTAGAGATGTTTAGATTTAAATAAAAAATAAGAAATTCCTACTCACTTTTCTACAATTTCTTGTTTCTTCTTAAACGTCATATAAGCTTGATTAGGTCCATCCTCATCAACCACGTACCGGACGCGATCATGTGTTTTGAAAAACCTTTGCCTGGAAACTCCAAAATCCATTTGAAGGTCGACGACCAGCAATAGAGTGAAGAGCACCAGGCCCACCGCGAATCCCAACACCATCCGCTCTTTGAGCTTCATCGCCCTTATGAGCATCCTGATTATTTCCGGAGATACTATCAAAGATGAAAGAAAATCTCGGAAAAACTGGGTCACTATTTCCGCGGGATTAGACGCGCACGGCTCCCGTCGGCGGGCACATCGCACCGATACTGAACGCTCTGGACATTTGTCATTCGCCGAACGGTTATCGTTCGGTTGAAGGGGGGAGAAATTGATTCGTTGCTGATTATTGATTGCTGATTTGTTTAAATCTATTTGACTCGATGATTTTGTTGATAAGGAGGTTAAATGATTAGCTTGGTCGATGACACCTTGATAGCCCTGGTCAACTGTTGACGGTGATGATTTATTATCGTTGATTGGTACTTTTCTGCGTCTTGCTGGTCTTTGTGGAGGAAGTTCTTGGATTAATGGAAGATGATCTTCAACACTTCTAGTTTTAGTAAATTTTATATTATTTGCTATAAGTTTCTGGTGACTTGACTCTCTATTCTTGATTGGTTTTGGAAATTCCTTATATACTGCTTCCAAATCTTTTCTCTCTTGTTTCTCCAATTCTCTTTGGCTTTTCGTGGAATTTCCAAATCCTCTTGTGTAATGTGCCGGCACCTCTTCTACACTTTTTTGCTTCGGCAGAAGAAAGTTTCGTGTATTTTTGATTTGATATGTTTTGCCTGCGATTCGTCTGTAGCGGATCTCTGGCGATGGTTCGTGGTCTAGAAGTTCCACGAGTGCCGAGCCTGCTCCCGCAGTGCATTGCAGATGCTCGTCCAGTTTTTAAGAATGCTCGAAAATATCTGAAAGAAAAAAATAAAATTATTAAGACGATTGTAAAACAGGAAAAATTTTAATATTTTTTAGTTATATTTTTAATAAGAAATTGAGAATTTACTAACAAATGCATGCAACTTAGAAATGTATTTAGTTTCATTTTTATTTCTATACCGGTAAAAAATATTAGTCGTATTTATAAAAAATAATCTCATATTTCAATACAAGAAAAATATATCACTGGCTCCTCTGACGGAAATCAAAACTTGACACACACAACATTTACTTGCAAGAAAAGCTACTATCTAACCAATTTGGATATAGGGAATACAACTATATCCAAACCAAAGATGTCAAAACTAGTAGAGTGCATGGCAACCAGCATGAGCCTTAAGGCAAATTGCTGGAACTTCCCGTACCGTAATTAAAATTCTTGGTGTGAAACCCAAAAAAAAATACACAAAATGTGTACACATTATTGAAATCTCTATAAAATGTCTCTTAATTTGATGTACATATATCCAATAAACATTTTTGACCGCCACATGACATTTTTTAAATTTATTTCTATTGAGAGTCCTTCGCAAAAATTTAATCAGTTTTTCATCGTGTCAATACAAGTAATATGTTTTTTGAATTATTAAAATCGGACGCTCCGTTCTCTTAAAAACTGAGTTACCGTTTTTGACACTTTTTGTCCCGTATCTACGGAACGGCTAGACCTGCCTTCGTAAAAAACTAATCAGCATATCTCCTCATCAATACGAATCAAATGTTTTTTGAATTATTTTAATTGGTTGATCGGTGTTCCCGAAATCATCAACAAAAATTTGTATCCGCACACACACATACATACATCCATTTTTTCTAACGCAGAAATATATAAAAAAAATTATTTTCCAAATGATCTAAATCAGTGTTTCCCAACCTTTCATGGGTCGCGCCTCATCTTAACGTTTTTAAAAACGTTGTGGCCCTCATATAAAATATTTGACCATGAAAAATGAATTTATTTCTTAGGAAATATAAAAGATAAGCCCTTAGAACTCACTATCAAATTGTGATGAAAACTTCATAAGTGAAACATATTGTAAAAATTTAAATTCAAATTAATTTTATTACTGATATTTCTACACTCAATCAAGTCTATTTCTTTTTTCTAACTTTTCGAAGAAGAGTTTTGTTTTTCTAGACGTTATTTTGACATTTTCTAAACTTTGTCTCAAAAGCTGGACCGATTTCAGAAATTTAAAAAACATTAGATATATTTCAAGAAGAACTCACGTTCTTTACACGTAAACTAATATATTGATTTCTTATTGATTAACTTTATTATAAATAGTTAATCTATACATTAAATTGTACATGTATGAGCGAGTCGTTGAGTTTATAATCTACATCCGTTAATAAGATTTATCATAATTATTTTGTTGTTAATTGTATTTATTAACACCTACAAGTATTTATTTTCATATGAAAGTACTCAAGATTTATTACAATACGTTATAAGACTTAATATAGTGATATGATAGATAATATTACTAATATCTATCATACTATTATATATTATAGATAATCTAACTTTTATCTATCATACTTATTTTTACGTCTTAATCTTAACCACTCCTCTAAGATTATTATGTATTATGTATAAAAAATAATTAAAAATAATGCCAAACTCTGTCCTAGCATAGCATTGAATACTTTCATATTATGCCTAACAAAAAGCTTATTCTATATTTGGATATTTTATAATAAGAACACAGACCAAAACTTATAAAAATATTTCGAACTTGCATTTTTTAAAAAATTGTCACAATATCAAAAATTGCTTACATAGTGCAATCTGCATAACCCACATACCGTATTGTCATTCACGAAATTTTTATTATGAAATTTTGTAATATGAAACGGTTTCCTGGCTAATTAAAGCATTCTTTTGAATTTATTTTTAACCATTTACAATTGAATTATTAGTATATGTAACTATAAATATGATTAATATTAATTTGAGAACGTTCTTAATATATTTTTAATAGTTTCTGTTTAAGGGTGTAGATCTAGAACAATGTTGATTAATTAATTCAGTTTGATTAATAAATTCTAATGTAAAAATTCAGAAATAAAGTACAAAAAATCTACTTGTTCCACAGTAGATAGATGTGTAGATAGTTATATTTATAATTATTTTAAGTGAAGTTTATATCATATTAATCAATTACTCAGAAAACAATGAACTAATAGCATTAAAATATGATAATTATATTTAAAACTCTACAAGAAGTACCCTCAATTACTATTTTATGCAAGAGCACTTTAGAATTTTACATTTTCTTTGTTTTTCTTCGAGTCGAACTGACAAGATTTATGATCATATTTTCCGCGTCCTGAGAAGAAATTTGATTAGAACTTTACTCATAAAGAAAATCTAATATTTATGTTAGAATTATATCCTGAAATATCTGCTGTATTTTTGATAAATTGTGAAGTTAATAATAATTATTATATTATTTGTCTTTCTGTATTCACGATAAGAATAAAATTTATTTTATAAATTTTACTTTAAAAAAAATTAGATTTTTGAGAAACTATAAATTTTTGACAAAAATATACTTTATTTTGAAAAAAAAAATTTTTTTTGAAAAAAATGTTTTCTTTATTTTGAAATAATTTGGAAATTCTGAACTTCTTTCAGTTCGATTATATTGCTTTAACTGCAAAGAGACGAAATATCAAAGCGCGTAAGCGCCGCGGTGCCGTTTAATGAATAAACATTGGTACGGAACCCATAGGAATGTAAACAAAATTTATACTTTTTGTTAAAATTTCTATAAAATACCTGATAACTTGATGTGCATATGTCTAAGGATCATTTTTGACCGAGGCTTTTTTTTACTTTTTTCACCAGATCTCCGAAACCGCTAGACCTGCTTCATGAAAATTTGATCAGTTCTCCCGAAATCGTCGACTAAAATTCGCACACATACACATACATACACGCACATATACACACATACACACACACTGAAACATCCATTTTTTTTAAGGTATGCCAAAATGTTCAAAAACCCCTGAAACGTAAAGATATATAAAAATTTTCATTTCGGATTTTTTTGCTATTACTATAACTTACCCTACGGGAAGTTAATTATATATAACATTTAACGATTACTTGCTCGCATTTTCATTTTCCCTTTTATTCAACAAGTTTGTCTCAAATTTTTGAACATATAAAATCTTATTTTACTATGAATCATGTTAAAATGGGTTCGACCATGAATACCAATTATGTGAACTACTTTCAGAAACAGAATATTTGTGGTTTTGGATACTAGTTTATTGCTTGATATATTCGGTTAAAAATAATAACATTTGTATTTTTTTGCATGCAGCTTTTTCGTTCAGGTCTATTTACGTTCTAAATGCTACATTGTTGCATTTAATGTCGCGTTGCATACTGTTGTCATTGACCGACGAGATCGGCCACCGAACTTGAAGAACATGATTATGGTAAACATTTGATTTTTTAAAATAATTAATTAATCATAAAAATAATAGCTACCAAATTATCATTAGGGCTATGAAATATGATTGATAAATCGCTAAACTATGCATATCAACAACTATTTTCGAAAAATATTTACTTTTTGTATTCAAATTATATAATTTTTGGTCCCTTCTTCCCCCTTGGTGTTATTCAAAATTAACACCCCCCTCCCCCACCAATCATCAGATGTATTTAATTAATAGACGCTCCCTACGATTATATACAGGGTGCGCCATCAATATGTGGTCAATGGAAACATTGAATAATGTTGAAAATGAAGAAAGTAATAATTTGATCGACGTTGTTTTCCTAACCTAGCTAAAAAAGGCTTTAAATCTGATAAAAAAATTATCAAAATTCATTGAAGGGCTTGCCCGTAGGTAAGCGGTTAAGAGCGACGGGACCTGAATCAGAGGTCCCTGTTTCAATACCCACTTCGAGCAGCCTGTTGTCAGGCAGCAGTGACAACGATTTTCACTTGGAAATATAGATAGCAATATATTTTCAAGTAAAAATAGCCCTCACCCGGTATTGCTGCACCAATAAAAAGCACCATTAGATTAATTCTAATAACCAAATCATCAAATATGGATGGATTAACCATTGAGTTACTATCTCAAATACGAAGTAAGGAGAAGTTTCAGCCCAACAGCTCATAGGACGTAAGGATCTGATTGCTGTTAAAAAAATATATTCAAAAAAAATATTTAAAATAGAATAAAAAATAAATTCATTAAAAATTGTTCAAGTTATTCAACATTGACCACATATAAATGGCGCAACATGTAGATATTTCATTGATCTTATTATCGATATTACACAGAACTGAAAATTCATTCACATTATTATTATATACGATATACACAAGTAGTACATAATTCATTAATGGTTTGCAGGAAAAACAATTTTATAAAAAAAAGTAGAGATTGAATATTAAAAGCTTGAGAAGGAACTAAGTGCCTCACAATTGCAAACTAAACTTAGATTATGAATGAATGAGATTTTTGTAAGCATGTAATAAAGACAAACAATATTTCTATTATATTTTCCTACAAATTATTAATTGATATTTTGAGAATTAAAAAATAAATAAACATAGTCAAAAATTAAATTTATTTAAAGTTTTAATTCTAGAAGGTGATGAAGTAGAGTTTTCAAAAAATAGGCACCTGATCATAGCCATGATTTTAGCCCTATATAATATGAAGAAAAATTAGAACGTTATCGTATGATTTTCGAAGAAGTTAAAATGAAGTTTTTTCACAAAATAGCAACTGCGCGAAAAAAAAAATTTACGATTTTTTTTATATTATAGAATTTTTTAAAAGTACATAGTAACAATCGGAATTTGGGGATAAGCGTAATATAAACTGAATGTGAAAATATACTGAGAGTCTTTGAAAAAGTCTCTGTGAAAATTTCAAGTAAATCAGTCCATTAGAAGTAGAGAACTTGTGAG